TCTCTCTCTCTGAGCCCACGTATGGAGGAAATTAAACCTTGGTGATACTATAATGACCATACATATGCATAAATCTGTTTCTCGCTCTCTCCACCCCGTCAGATTGTACCCTTCCCAAGCCTCCACGTTCTATCCCTTTCTCTCTCCTGCGGTATGTATGCACATCTCTCTCTCTCTCTCGGGGTTGGTTCTATCTTTCGTGTGTGTGTGTGTGTGTGTGTGTGTGTGTGTGTGTGCGAGAGAGAGAGAGAGAGAGAGAGAGAGAGAGAGTTCTGGGAGGAAACGTACTAATGTACATACATTTGCAGGGAATCGACGAGGCGTCGGGAGCGGGTTCGTCGTGTGTGTAGGCCGACAAATAGGTAACAGGATAGGTAGATGGATAGGTACTGGGGTGAAATATTTTCGGTGAAATGTCTAGTAGCCTAGGAGTGTTTGTAGAGCGATAACCTTACGGGACGTGGTCTGGACATGACCGAAGGACGTTCATCGAATGCTTGTAGAATGGATCGTGACGTTCTGGCCAGCATCCATCGTCCTCCTGACGTTGCAAACGCCTCTCAACTCTGTGTGTGTGTTTGTGTGTGTGTATGTGTGTGTGTATGTGTGTGTGTGTGTGTGTGTGTGTGTGTGTGTGAGAGAGAGAGAGAGAGAGAGGTGCACGCAAGCTTGTTTTTGGAAGTCGTGAGAAGTACTCCACCAGCTTTGGCCCGGATCGAGACGCAAAAAAGCAAAAATATCATAAAAGTTGGGTTGTGAATTTCAGAGAGGTCGGTTATAGTATCGATTTAGGAAGAAGGTTGTCGGCATTTGACTTGCCTTTGGAAATCAACGTCCGCCTTACGAAGTTATATTGATAAGCGCGCAATGGGAAGCTACGAGAATGGGCGTACTTAGTACTTAATACGAGCTTCCCCTACCGTGATTACCAAGGTAATTTGTGGAAGGAAAGGATCAACTGGCAAATACGTACCGTACGTATACGTATGTGGAGTGCTGCCAAGTTCCCGACTTGGGGCAGATAATCAAGTTCGAGTCTTTTGCGTCAGCATCAACGTCAGCGACGGGATCATTTTTTTGCCTTTCTTGGGACTGTTTCTAGTGTTGCCTCGGTCGCTACTTAGTGAACTGCGCGTGATTTTGTCGGAGTCCTCTCTTACCATTGATCTCTTACCATTGAGCCACTGATCCCGTTCCGTTCGTGACCTGCAGCTTGTGGCGATTAGTTAAGTTATAGGCCCTCGATGCACTACTCTTGAAAGGTACAAAACGAGAGTGAATCTTCCGCTAGAACATGGAAAGATACAGCGACATGATTTTTCTCTTTTGTGCATTTCAAGAGTAGTGCAACGAGGCCCATAATGTTAAGAGGTTCAGGGGTTTCCTGCGATTTGCGAAAAGCAGCACCCTACGATGTTTATGACAAAAAACAGTACGTTATAAAAATACGTTATATTTTTTTTTGGGTAGCCAATTCGGTCCTGCACAGTGAAGTATATTTCAATTTGTGGCCCAGAGGAGTACGTCAGGAATAATTTATGGGTAACCATTGATCCCGTTTCGGTCCTGCACAGTGAAGTATATGTGCGTCTCTCCCTCTCTCTCTCTCTCGCTTCAATGTGCAGAAGGATCAGGATGATCAGCTACCGTCATTATTCCTGTATGTGGGCAAACTTTCAGTCCAGATGCAGCGATAATGACCCGGCGTTCTATTCGGGTGAAGTTGGTAGCCAAGATGCCCATAGGTAGATAAGGGTTCATTTACTGTCCCGTTAAACCTTCCTTCCTGGCATTGACGAGGGTGCGTCTATAGAAGGCGGTAAATGATGGTGGCGGAAAAGCGAAAAGCCGCTGTCGAAGGATCGTAGGGATGTGTTCTGTTCCCTTGTATCCTTAGTCAATCCAATTGCACCTGCTAGCTTGCGAAGACGACGGAAGATGTTCGCTATGCATTGGTGGGTCCCATCCTGTCTGTGCGCGGACGTGGACAGTACTGGTCGCTTATGTTTATCTGTTGGTTTGATATGGTGTTTGCTTGCACCCCCGTCCGTCTGTCCGTGTGTGTCCGTGTCCGTGTGCGTGGTGTCTGGGTGCGTGTGTGTGTGTGTGTGTGTGAGAGAGAGAGAGAGAGAGAGAGAGAGAGAGAGAGAGAGAGAGAGAGAGAGAGAGAATGTAGGGCGTTGATCCGAGGAAACATAATCGAAAGTGGGTCGAGAGTACCTTTCAGTGGAGAATGCCTAATTTTGCTGTCGCCTATGAGAGACCTGCCTTCATTTCATGACCTTCTCCACCGTCTGCCTGTTTTAGTATGTGCCCGTGGCGATTTGTAATTGGCGGCGCTCAGCAATGGGGTTGCGCCACGTAGTTTCTGGGTAAGTTATCAGGAGGTAGATAAATGGGCTTACGATAGTGATGTGAGGATGTCAAAGCAAGTCTTTGTATAACAGATCTATGAACGGACATGGCTTCATCAGTTTCTTGGTCAGGGTGATCTCTTTTCGATCTTCACATTGAACGTGCAAGGTCTATGGAAATTGTGAACTCTCGACTAAGTAAGGAGGCAGCCATGTATTGCTCCGTGTCATTGATCCATGGGCGTGTGCCGTGTCCAAGATGTATTTTTTGGTTAAAAAAGGAAAAGGGATGGTTTGATTGTTCAACGAGTTGTGCGCTCTCTATAAGTGCCACGAGACATCGCTCTCTTCTCAGCATACTTAGGACGTTCCTAAGCAGCAGCATAGTAGGGGTAATATTTTTCATCGTCTAGTTGGCATGAGGGATAATATTCAAAAAACATCTAATTGCCAATAGCAGTAACACTCGAGAGCATCTAGCCGCAAGCATTGTCGAGGAATTATTTGTCGAGTAAGACGGCTCTTCGCACCCTACTTCTCACTCGACATTTTTTAATATCATCAGTACACATTTAATTTCAATTTCAAATTCAAATTATTGGCTTTCACGATATCGTTATCATCACTTTGTTATCTTTCTGCGGAATTTGCCGCGTTAGAGTTGACGAGGAAGATTCTCTTTCTCCAGCTGCTTTTTTTTTGAGGTTGCAGTCTCGTGGAATTTTCGTAGCCCCTCTCGTTTCCCCATCTCTGCGCCGAGTCCTTCGCGTTGCGGTTTTTGCCTCTTCTCATTTGTTTCTATAATATAAAAAGTTGACCTTTTTTTTTTTTTTTTGGAAAAAGATGACTCTGAAGAGGCTGGCTCGTCAGGGATGATCGATGGTGGCACAGGTGGATGTATGCATAGAGGTGTTGCGCGGTTTTACCTCTTCCATGGGCACGACTGTCAGCGAAAACGTGAGGGTGGTGTTTTTATCGCAGTGCTTTACCGTCCGATTTGTCAGCACAAGGGCTGAGAGAGGTGTTTGTGGAGTTGGGTGGCAGGCCGAGTCATTCTTCGTTCTTCCTTTTTTTTCTCTCTTTTTTTTGAGCATTTCGAAAGTCGATTGATGTCTGTTTGACGATCTGGCTCACTTTGAAAATGGTTTGCCGTTTGCTTTTCTCGTCCTAGTTTTTCCTTAAACCACCAGTACTTGGCGCAGCTATCGGCCGCGGAAAAAAATAGAGTAGAAACGTTTCTAGCTGGATGAATTTGGGCGCTCCTGTAGTGGCCCATACGTTTCCTAAAGTCGTGGCATGTTAACGGGCATGACTCTAGGAAGTACTGGTGGTTTAACTTTCGCTCTTACTTCCATCTCGGAGAAGATAACGAGGGCTCGACGGGCTGAGTTTGGAAGGTACTTGGGCTTTTAGATAACGAGCTGCTTGCAAAGAGATGCCTGGCGTATTTGAGATGGTTTCTACGGCACTGGGAGATGACACCCCTCTTCCTCTTTCCTTGTCCAGTGCGGCGAGTGGACCTCTCCATTTTCGTTTTCTCATGCTGGCTGTGCGGCAAGCAAGCGAGCAAGCAAGCAACTGGGTCTAAGTCAACGTTCGTAAAGACAGATTTGGATACCTTCCGTGTGTGCCCTATCAATTTCCTTGTGATGGGAGTCGTTAACCCGCAAGTGTTCAGACAATTTTTAACTACTGTTCTTTGCCTTTTTATCGGAGCTATACTTTGGAACTCACATTTCGGTTTGTGCCTGATCACAGGTGCCCGTGGCCCTTCTTAGTGAATGATCCTGGTTCAACTAAACTTGACACAACTCCATAAGACTGGGTTGAAAAGCACCCACCCTTCCTCTACCCCTTCGATAATAATCCTCCTCCTTTCTGGAAAGGAAGTAACCCTCAACCCATTGGCCACCGCGAAAATTTTTGGTGATGACATGTACGTACCGTTTGGCGTATGAGAAAGGTATGACATTTCTCTTCCTGATCTGATTTGTGTTGAAATGACAGGTTCATCTTCTGGTTAACATACCACAAGGCTTGTTTGGATGTTGTGTGATACCGGGGTCATCCTTAACCTTTGATCTGGTAGATCTTAAACCACTAGTACCTCGCCCAGTGTTGGGAAATTAGGGAAAACTGGCAGTTTTCCCAAACTCCTGAAAATTCGGAGGCCGGGCCCGACGACCGCTGGCATTGATAAATCTGATCGGCGGCGGTCGTTTCGTTTCGGCCATCCGAAAAGGTCAGAGGCCCACCCGAGGCCTGCTATTTTCTCACGCGGCAAAGGTAAAATTAAAAAAAGACAAGTGTGGTTGAGGACGCAGGTGTCAGAAGGTGCCTCTGGAAGCTAAAAGAGAGCATGGTGTGGTGAATCCAGGTGTACAGGCTCCAAGGGGCCACTCAACATGGCTGCCTCAGTGGGTGGTACTACTGGGTGGACTTTGCACCGACCTCTCATTCAAATGGTTGTGGGCCAATGTTTTCACGCCTCCCTATAAAGGTGGCTTTGCCTGTGTGTATGCCAGCCACGTGCATCCATATATGTTTTCTTTTCGGTCTCTGCGTGTGTGGGTGTGGAGAGAGAGAGAGAGAGAGAGAGAGAGAGAGAGATTTTCATATTGACAATGCTATTTTGTGGTGATGCAGGACTATGTACCAACTGTCTTTGATAATTTTAGCGCCAATGTTGTTGTGGAGGGTAGCACTGTGAATCTTGGCCTCTGGGATACGGCAGGTAGGATGCCCTGTTTTTTCATCACCCTGTTCCGCTAGACTGTTTTCCCCTCCATTTTAGGCTTGTGTTTGTCATGATGCGATGAGTGTCCTGGTTTCACTAGGCTGCTTGTCTCAACTGTGATGTGAATCACTTTTTGGGCCCTCTTGTTGTGCTGCTTTTGTTCATGTGAGTGCACTTTTTTCCTCTGTCTTGCTGTACGTGTGGGATAAAATTCATCATGAGGCAACTAGGTGCTGCTGTGGGTTCGCCGTAAAAGAACCTAAGAAAGTAAAACAAGAACACAGTGCTGGTTGCAGTCCAATCCTCCGCGTCTTATTCAAATCGGTGTCATTGTAGGTGTTGGAAGTGGATCCCTGGCACAGCAGGACTCAGATCTAGAAAGTTTTCTTTGTTGTGGAGCTGAGGTTTGATTCAACCCTGCAGGGCTGGAGGCTGTGTTTTCAGTAGTCGGCGGGGTTCTAGAAAATTTTCTTGGTAGTGGAGCCGGGATGGAGGTTGTGTTTTCAGTAATTGGGAGAGCCAAGATTTGAACCGAGGCCTTGGTCCTAGCAGTCGAGTGCGCATTTGCTCGATAATTGGCTGTTCAATCGGTTTTTCTTTGTCTGCTTTGGTCATTTCAGACTGGAAAGCCATTGCCAGCTCAGTCTGAAAAAAGGAGGAATAAGTAGCAGCTTTCCTCTTCTTCGGCTAATCATTCTGGACTTTTTAAAGTCTAACAAGAGGGGAAATGTTTTGCTTGTCAGCATGTAAGAGTGAGGTGAGGGTGCAGCCAGAAGGCTATCACTCCTGCAAAATGTTTTGCTTGTCAGCATGTAAGAGTGAGAAGGCTATCATTTTTTTGCTCCCTGTTTGTCGTAACTTGCTGTGGGCTGGGGGGGCTTCATTGTGGACATCATTTTCAGGGGGTAGGATCGAGTTTTGGCCCGTGTATTTTGAAAAACGGATGTTGCTGCAATCAACCTGTCTGTCGTCTTCAGGTGTGAATGGAAGTCAATTTGATGGAATCCTAGGGGACCCTAGCAAACAGTTGGGAGGGTAGTGATAGTGACTGCAATGTAGAGGAGAGCAATTCAAACAGGGAAGCTGCTCGAGGAGAATGATGATGAAGAACATGCCACCTTGCTGAACACTGTTGTTATGAGGTCCGTGTTGTAGAGAATGGTAGACAACAGCTCCATCCAAAATTACCTCTTCCATTGCGGGCTGTATCTAGGAAGGAAAGTGTCAAGTTCTTTCACCTGTGGAGGTCAAGCTTTCGAATGGGGATGTGATTAGGAATCGCACCAAGTGCTGTATCCCATCATCCTCGCCAAGAATTTTTGGGCGAGGATGACGGGATATGGCAGCTCAAGGCCACGCAAGCTGTGATCTACCTGTGCGACAGAAATTGTGCAGGTACCTGATTGTGGCATACTGCGTAGCCACACGGGCCTGCAGGGCCCGTCCCGCATTCTCAGCCTAAAAGCCTAGAAATAAGGGCTTACAGGGCCCGTGTCGTTTCAGCCTGAAAGACTGCAGGCCCTATGTCGTTTCAGCCTAAAACAGGGCTGAAACTGAGGCTTTTCAGCCTGAAACGGAGGGCCACTTTCGGGCCCTCATAAGATCGACCTGCCCTAACACTCAGGCACAGAACCAGGGTTTCGGGAACAGGCTATTTTTGGCCTGTTCCCACAAACAGCCTCAGCAGGAGCTGCAGCAGCAGCCCCTGGCTCCCTTCGGCATTGGCAAGAGCAGCCTCCTGGACTGCCCCGCCCTGCAGCTACAGGCAGTCAGGAGGCAGGCCGAGTAGTACATAGGAAGTTCCCATGCACTTCACGGGGAGGTAGTTGGACAGAAGGCAGGAGGCAGTCTTCAGGATTCGGTCGCAGCACTCTCGAGGAGCGCTGCAGTAGTAGCTTAGCGCTAGCAGTAGTCTTCAGCGCTGGGCGCTAGTAGCTGCAGGAGTAGTCTTCAGCTTTGGGCGCTAGTAGTGGGAGTAGTAGAGTTGGAGAGAGATGGCTGGCGGAGGCCAGTGAGACTTACCTGTGGTGCCATAGCTCCAGCTCCATCTTCGAGGTACCTGCATCAAGGCGCCAGCTTCACAGGTTAGTAC